TAATCGAAATATTTTATATTCCTAAAGCAGAATATACACAAGTAGACTTGTCTGTACTACATGTCAAGTATTATATTCCTAAAGCAGAATATACACAAGTAGACTTGTCTGTACTACATGTCAAGTATGACGTACCGTCGCATCGTGGATAGGCGGGTGTGCATACCAAATTCCAGGTCTGCAGACATGTATAAAGGAAATTTAAATTTTTCAATTTGTTTGCTCGTTGTTGCGACAGGTATGAACGTTTATAGTACACAATGCAGACAGAACTTCATATGTGTATAGAAAAGTACAAACCCAGCAAACATTTGGAGTAACAAATAAGGCAATTTTATTTTTTAAACTAATTCGCATTATATCTTTACAGAACACTATAAGGATTAATCATTAAAATAATAAATTTTAATAGTTTAAATTTTTTATTAATATCTTTATGTAACTACATACATATATCATATATCGTCACCTGAAATGCAATACGACGGAAAACACATCGTTCCTGAAATGCAAAAAGTCGTAACTGATAAAGAATTCAAAATTCACTTTTGATTAATATGATGGATTCCATCGAATTACAACTCCCCACATCGTTTTATGAAAAAAAATATTAGTCACGAATTTTTCTACTTTATTGAAGTTGCTTTTTACGACTTTTTCCATTTCAGGTGACGATATGTATAACAAAGATACTAACACATACTTCCATATACATATGTATGACAGAAACTTTCGGAAACTTTCCTCTACGTTGTGTGCGTGGTGGGCGGAGCGGGAGAGGCACGGTCATGAGCCGATGTTTACAGAAATGCAACTCCTTCCCGGCTGCCTTACAAAAATGGGGAAAAATCTAAATTTTCGCTTGGTTTGATTAGATGAAGGCACTGACTTGAGCCTTTCCGTGTTGCCGGAGAAGAGAGGGCCCACCCATGGTATATACCATTTCTAGTGCATAAAGGTAAAGGCGTCAGGCTCCGGTGTTTTTTTTTAAAGCTCCTTTTGCGTGGGCGGTCTTCGGCCGCGCTTAGGGATTAAACACTTACTAAGTAGAATTCTCCTTTCTGTGTTGCCGGAGGAGAGGGGCGGTGGCCACCCGAAACTTTTGCAAATTATTTATTGAAAAAAAAAAACCGTATTAGTATATTCATCAAAAAACCTACAAATTTGACTCAATAACGAGCCGCGTGTGAGGGCAATAAGAGTCCAGTATGAATAATTTGTGCCTATAAATACTTGCTGGGAAGACGTAGATCCGTATGCCGTTATGTTCGTTCACTTCAACGATTACAACGAAATGAAGTTTGAGCAACGTGTCGCATAGGTGTATACTGAACTGACAAGCGACCAAGTATGCATACAAGTCTGATTGTGTATATTCTGCTTAAGCCATGATTCAATAATGAAAGGTTTTTTAAGAAAAACTTTCTCTTGCTCGAATTTTATCAATGACACTCCCTCTACTCCTAAAAACAAAAACAGTGATATTTCTTTTCCAAATTTCTTTGCAAGTTTTAAGAATATTTTTAAAATCTTAGTAGTAAAATGTTTACTTTTTAAATTTGAAGAAATGGTTGTTCCTGAGAATCGTTGGCCCACAGAAATTCAATGTAGGCTAAAGAGACGAAATTCCCTTAAATGCCGAAATGTATTTGTCGACATTCGTGAAGACCTATAGATTCTGCCAAGTCGTGGTAAAGTAAAGCGCGCAATTGTTCTCGAAAATGAGGCAACGAATGTATTTAGGCATTGACCTACACAACACAATCGTGGTGTCTCCGAATGAGACTTTGACGCAATATAATATTTGCAAACCTTATCCATGGGCTAGGTTAAGTCACTGGAGCGATTTTGTAATTGCAATCGTTCAATAGCAGCGTGACGTTTTCATTCTTCCTGAGTTCGACCAGCACGAATCGCCAATCGCGACTGTGTTAGACAATCTTTGATATTCTGATCCGTGGCATAATGTCACCCGAACACTAAGGCCCAGTTTTCCAGTGCACGACTGTGATTTAAACTTAGATTAACTGCTCGAGCTGGTCAAGACAACGCGGTTTACGTGATCTCAGTTTAAACTTGCACTGAAAAACTGGCCCTAAAAGTTCAATATCAAAGAATTCGTGTTACCGTATTAGAAGCAATCGAGGCATAACCGCGAAAGAAAAGTAAGCGATAAATGTTTTTTATGGCGTCATTTTTATCAAAATTATATAATTTTTCCACAAACAATTTCTTCATATCCATCAACCGTAAATGGTACCGCAAAGAACTTATAAGGCAAAAAAAAAAACAACAGAAAAACAGCTCAAAGTGGGCCATCCATTCTCAAGTTGTACACGATCTGACGTTCGCAACCTTGGTATATATCGACTCCTAATTGCGATTTTATCGTAAGCGACAAATTATCGAAAAAAATTTTTTTGGTGTAAATAGGTCACAAATACTAGTTACAACGTCCTACAAAATTACAGACTTTGAATATATACCGTTTCGGAAAAAAAGCAAGATTAATTTTATCGTTTGCTTTGTTTACACTTTCCTACAATTTTATCATTGATAGCAACACTGTGTCTACAGAACTTTATTATAAATAGCAGTTTGAACTGTAGTTTTAACCAAAGTTCCATCGGCACTTGCTACAACTGAATTACTCAAAATCAGCTTCTTTCCCTCATAAAAATTAAGTGCATTATGCAATTGCAGCTGCAATCACTAAGTGCAGCGCAGCTCGTATGTCGGGGTCCTTTTTAAAACTCTTTCATGCCCTCGTATAGAAAAAAATTGCAACTGATTTCGAATCGCCATCTTAACACCAGCTCATACGGCCATATGGATTTACAAGAAAACTTGGGGACAATCAAGTAGATGCACCAAACGAAAATATGTTGAGCTTATTCTGCTGATTGGCAGTGTTTATATTTAATTGATTTAAAATTCTGTTTTTTTTCAAACAATACTTAAAGTACCCGCAGTCCTTCGTTTATAAATGTCCAAATTATACAACATAAAAACTATCGCCATCGCCAATCCTTTGATAACTTTCCTCTACATGTTCAGGAAAAATATCGTAAGCGCCATTTTACCTTTAGGTCCGCAAAAAATAAATAGTCCCATTAGAAAGCTAGCATTCAATAATATTGTTGTCCATTTAAATCCAAATAAATTTGTATACTGTTTAAGGGAGAATTAAAAAAAAAACCTCTCTTGTGAAATTAGGGGTCGTATCTACATACAAATAATTATTTTTAATAACTATCAGAGGTTATATTCGATGTAACTAAGTTGGTTTCAATTAAATAATCAAAGCAAATACTACCATGCACTATTATGAACACCTTTTTGTGGAATTTCGCTACTTTTTGAAAGGTGATTGAATTCTTCCCCTTTTCCTTCTGCTTAAAAAAAAAAAACATCCCTGTGGGTGGGAGTGTCAAATTTTAGAAAAAAAACTACTTACAAAACCTTTGATAGGTTTGTTCCACAAGCTACTAGAAGTCACGAGTTACACATACGCGTTGCACAAGTAAGTTTTAGAGTTTCTTCTTTGATATACGCTCACAGTTTGAACTTTGCTCGAGCTGTTCTACAAGTAGCTTGTGTAACAAACCTACTAATTGAATCATGTTCCTAAACTACATAAATGTACGTACATATGTATGTGAATAATGTCGCATGCCAGCAAATTTGCAACTAACAACATTTTTGTAATATCTTCTGTTTCGATTTTTCTTTTATTTGCTTTAATTATTTGTGCTTTGAAGTAGATGCACCGAAGGAGCCGTCACTTGTTTTGATCCTTAAATGGGGCGGGGAGCTAACTCCTGCAGGTCGTATTCAAGCTGAGGAATTGGGTCGCATATTTCGTTGTATGTACCCTGGTGGTCAGGGTCGGCAGGACTACTCTGGCACACAAGGATTGGGCTTGTTGAGGTGAATTCATAATAAAATATTTTTGAAAATATAAAAACTCTTTTAATTACTAGACTGCACTCCACTTTCCGGCATGATTTGAAAATATATGCCTCTGACGAAGGCCGTGTCCAAATGACAGCAGCCGCATTTGCTAAAGGATTGCTGGCTTTGGAGGGGGAGCTTACACCGATTTTGGTCCAAATGGTTAAGAGCGCTAACACAAATGGGCTGCTGGATAATGATTGTGACTCTAGTAAATACCAAACCCTGTAAGTGGATACTATTTAGTATAGTATTTTTAATGCATTCGAAGGAAAATCAAATAAAAAAAACAGCATTCGCGCGACTGCCGGTTTTACGTACCGGAATGACTCGGGTTTTACCCGGCTGTTGTTTCAGCGATCTAACCCCGTTTAGGTCGGTGAAATACTTCAAGCGTTTTTTCGTCCATAGAGCTACATGTGCTTCGTACTCTTCTGCTCAGGGCTGGTATCGAGTCAAACCCTGGGCGAGAAACCTACACCTTCTGCGTGTGCCAGAGACGGCTACATCCTAACTCTACCGCAGTCAGGTGCATGTAATGGGTGGAGTCACCTACGAGCATGCTCAGGCCTCAGCACTCATCGGCAGTAGACCACGGCATACGTGGCCACCTGCTGCTCAAACAGAGTCGTCTCCGCGACACACACGGGCCCGCTTCAGCATCTCAACACAAACAAGACCGCACCACAACACAACACAATAGACCATACAACAAACACAATAGACCACACCACAGACACAACAGCACCACCACACATTCACGCCGCCGCCAACAACTCTTAGTTCCTCCGACAATCTGCTCGGTGTGCCAGGCCAGGATATTCCGTAACGTGACATCAGTCAACTGCAATACCTGCCTGTTGCGAGAAGGCAACATACATCACTCACATCCCACATACAAATAAGTCTCCCTAGGCACACGAAGATTTTGCAGATTCATTGTAACGGACTTCAAAGCAAGGTCGAGGAGATAACCACCTTTATGGGACGGCATGGAATATTAATTGCTGCGAAGTTGCACAGCAATTCAACATTGCGAGATAATGGTGGTGGCGTGGCATCGATCGCAGGGTTACCAACCTAGAATGTCAGGGTATTACTATCGGGCCAGGCGATGTCGAGCTCGAAATATTTAAGGCTTACATACCCCCTGTTACCAGCTGCCCGACAGGATATCACCATATGATAGTCGGTGACTTTAACGCGCACCACGACCTTTGGCATCCAAGCCTGTCGAATTATCGTAGGGGACACTCTTGGCTGAGCAGATGGACAATTCGACATTCTGCACAATGAACGATGACGCACCTACCAGGATTATGGGCAGCTGCAGCAGTTCGACTGATATAATAATTGTAAGCGATGGTCTGATAAACAGCATAACGTGGCGACCTACGCTGACCTTAGCATCAGACCACCTGCCCATGTCACCTCTATTAATAAACCTGCCGAGTTCGCTTCCGCGAAACACCGAACCTACACCAACTTTCCTAAAGTTGATTGGAACGGCTTCGTGGAAGTTACTGAAAGCACCTTCTCTGCCCTTCACACACCAACCGAGGCTCACGTAGGTGAGCGTAAGTTCCGCAGGGTTGTCACTGCTGCTGCAGCCCGCTTCCTCCCCAGCTGGATGCATTTCAGACCCCCGTCCGAATTTTCCTGCTGAAGCGGCTGTCCTAGCCAGTGAGCGTGACAACCTTTGTCAGGGGTTGCCCGCATCAGGGATCTCAATAAGGAGATCGGCAATTGTCTCTGACGAATGATCGATAACAGGCAGCATAAAGCAACCTCTGGACCCGACAGCATACCGACAGGTCTTGAACGGCATTCACAGGGATTCAGTCTCGAGTTATGTAGACTCTCGACTTGTGTCTGCCGTTTTAGGTACACAACCACCAGACGTAGACGAGACAGAGCTTCGACATACATTGACCAATCACTGGACCCGACGACGTACCGACAAGTCGGTCACCACCTACCACGACTCCGTGCATGCCGTGATCGCGGCCCAATGACCACCTGTAGCAGACACGGAGCTTCAACTACCAGAGAGACCCGCGTTACTCTGGCCCAGTTACGGTCTGGATATTGCAGTCATCTCAACAGCTACCTGTCCAGACTCTTATACCCCCAATGGGTGTCCGGCATGTGGAGACTCGCCGCACGCATGTCAGCTCAATCCCACTCAACTCACACCCCTCTCCCTTTGGTCCGACCCCGTCGAAACTGGCGTTTTTTGTGTCTACCGTTAGTTGAGCTTGACGGCAATGATCGATGGACAAACCATAATGAGCGGGGCTTAGTAGTGCCGCTACAACGACATCAACAACGTCTTTAAGTCTTTATTAGAACAAAATATTAAGGGTGATTACAATCTTTTGTGATATATTTCGGTGCACTTTTCAGTAGTTTAAGCTCAAATGAACCACAAAATGTGACAGTTTTTAAATTACACATTTTTTCTACAAATATAGATAACACAGGCCAACAAAAATGAAAAAAAATGTTGGTGCGACAAATGTTAAAGCTATTTTTGATAGACTTTTTTGTGCTGATTACGAATCCGTAAGTACAAAGGATCCAACACGTACTGGTTTTGAGAAAATCGAGGTCAAAGTGTCAAAAAATCGGGCTTTTGCAATATTTGAGAAGCTCTAGCAAAGAGTAAAAAGGTGATAGAACCTTCCACTTAGGCTTAGATTAAAGCAAAAACCCTCGACTACTATCCTTGAAAATACCATTCCTGCACATTGAATTTATGGTCACTTATAGTCATTTATTGAGCAGTAAAATTTAGTTTGAGTCCCTGCCGCAATTAAACAAAAGGTGATAGAACCTTCCACTTAATTTAAGCTTAAACTTTCTTGAACTTTCGACTACAATCCCTAAAAATACCATCTCTTCGTCTTGACCCTAAGATCACTTATAGTCGTTTATTGAACAGCAAAAACTGATTTTGGCAGCATTTTTTTTTTCAATAGCACAATTTGCCAGCATTTTTTTTTTATTGTTCAACAAATGACTATAAATGGCCATCAAGTAAAGGTGCAGGGATGGTATTTTCAGGGGCAGTATCCTAGGTTTTTAGCTTTAAGTTAAGCCTAAGTGGAAGGTTCTACCACATTTTTACTCTTTGCTCGAGCTTCTCAAATATTGAAAAAAACCCGATTTTTTTGACACTTTGACCACGATTTTCTCAAAATCTGTACGTGATGGAATGTTTATAATTACGGATTCGTAATCAGCTCAAAAAAGTCTATCAAAAACAGATTTAACATTTGCCGCACCAAAATCAGTGTTGCCCTGTGTAAGTTAATAGTTAAAACAAATAATTTTAAAGCAAGCTTTCTAAATATGAACGGAATCGAACCATAAATACTGGTTTACCAAATATATCGACTCGTGCACAATTTTTAGTGGAGTTATTCCTTTTTATGTAGTTTTAAATATGTAGTACTATACGTTCTAACTATGAACCAAATCGGACTATAAATACGGGGCTTTCAAATATCTCGACTCCTGCGCCACACAGTGTGCTTTTTGAACATTCCATGCGAATTAATCGTTGCGCTTTCGACAGAAGCAATATTTTGATATGAAGCAAAATGGTTTTGAAAGCTTATTTTATTCCCTTTCACGGAAAAATACTGCCATTGACCCAAAATTACTACTTGACCTTAAAAAAATTTGGTCAAAAATAGTGTTCTTTGAAAAAAACATGCAAAATCCATCGGATTTGTTCCAAAAAAAAATTTTTGTATATATTATAGATTTTGAGACGAAAAACGCTTCCACTGTTTAAAAATCAAAACAAAATTTTAACACCTCAATTTAAGAAATGCATTTTTGATTGCATTTTTTTTATTTGCATGCAGCTGTGCATCGTTCTTACAATTTGATATCACTCAAATAACGCTGTAGTGCTATTCAAGATCTTTAATTTGAGCCATGGTGGAAATCTTTAGGCCCTCTGAGAGCCAAGTTATAACAATTTTAAACCAAACTTCGAATCTGCAGTACGAGTTTTTACTCTGAAATTAGAAGAAAAAAAATGCAAAAATGTCGAATGAAATTTCGAAGTTTAACTTTAGAATCGCTATAATTTGGATCTCAAAGGGCCTATGGACTAGGCTCAAATTAAAGATCTTGAATAGTACTACAGCGTGCTTGTTATTAGAGTAATATAAAATTGTGAGAAGGAAGCACAGCTGCATGCAAATAAAAAAAATGCTATCAAAAATGCATTTCTTAAGTTGAGGTGTTAAATTGTTTTATTCTATTTTTAAACAGTGGAATCGTATTTCTCGTATTAAAATCTATAATATTAGTGTAATAAAACATACAACATTTTTTTAACAAATCCGGTGGATTTTGCATGTTTTTTTCGAAGAATACTATTTTTGACCAATTTTTTTAAGGGCAAAGAGTAATTGTGGGTCAATGGCAGTATTTTTCCATGAAAGGGAATAAAATTAGCTTTCAAAACCATTTTGTTTCATATCAAAATATTGCTTCTGTCGAAAGCGCTACGATTAATTCGCATGGGGTGTTCAAAAAGCACACTGTGCGCCACCAATAGGATTAACACATATTTCGTACTGTATTGTTATCGGGCTCTGAGCCAACTGTTTCAAGTCTCTAGGTCATCGGGAAGTTGCCCAAAAATGTATTGCAAGATTTGCCCCTAACAAGCATACATACGAAGCAAGTAAAATAATACTTTGTAAAAATACCCTTCCTTTTCAACTCAAAATTCGTAAAAAATTCCACGATTTCTTAATATTAATAAAATCCATAATATTTTCAGAGCAAAACAACGCCTACATGATTTGATGCGTGTTGATCGCGATTTCACAGCCGAAGATCGTGAGGCCATAAATCCTTGCAATAGTATATCAATAAATCAAGCTTTGGACTTCGTCAAAAATCCAGTAGAATGTTGTAATCACGTCCACAAATTAATCAAAGAGTTACTCACAATTATAAGCGTAAAGAAAGAAGATCCCAAAACTAAAGACGCCATACTATACCACGGTGAAACTTGGGACTTGATGGCACGTCGTTGGGAGAAAATTGAAAAAGACTTTAGCACAAAATCAAAACAATATGACATTTCTAAAGTTCCAGACATATACGATTGCATCAAGTACGATCTGCAGCATAATCAGCATACGCTGCAATACGATCAGGCCGAAGAGTTATACATTTACGCTAAATATCTGGCTGATATCGTAATACCACAGGAGTACGGTTCAACTGTGCAAGAAAAATTGGCCATCGGCCAGGGTATCTGCACGCCACTGCTCAAAAAGATCAAAGCCGATTTGCAGCGAAACATCGAGGAAGTAGGCGATGAGTCGGTAAATAGGCTGAATCCGCATTACAGTCATGGTGTGGCCAGTCCAGGCCGCCATGTACGCACGCGTTTATATTTCACCAGCGAAAGTCATGTGCATTCATTGCTGACTGTTTTGCGCTATGGCGGCCTGCTAAATGTGCTTAACGACGAGCAATGGCGGCGTGCTATGGATTATATTTCGATGGTATCTGAACTGAATTACATGTCACAAGTCGTAATAATGTTGTACGAAGATCCGACCAAGGATCCCACATCGGAAGAACGCTTCCATGTAGAGTTACACTTTAGCCCTGGTGTTAATTGTTGTGTACAGAAGAATTTACCACCTGGTCCAGGCTTTCGTCCACACTCACGGAATGATTCTGGCAATCCTAAGCAAATGGTGAGTACCACAGTAGACTAGAAAAGTATGATGTGAGTATTTTATTAATGTTCATATGTTCACCTGCGTGAAAAGGGTTCCGTGAGTGGAATTTTGAAAAACAATTCTGCCGGTGACGAGGCGAATCCCGCACGCATAGAGGAAGAGAATGACTCAGAGGATAGTCCTATAAGGAGCCAATCAGATGTGAGCAATTCTTTACTAGTGCGATAATTATGACATAATTACACATCCCTTCTATATATTTGTTTTCAGGGCTACGAAAAGGATTCACCGCCACGCAACAATCACATAAAATCGAAACCAATACCAATTGGGGCGCATCACACCGTGAGTGGTCACGAGGCCGCGCACTTGGCTAAGCGCTTAAACGAAGAGCTAGCGTCACAACAACAAACCGTACAGCAGATCGGCTCATTGGAATCGCAACGCCCCATCAGTCCCGATACAGAGCCACGATCCCGCAGCTACGAACAACGCGATCCAAAGCGCGCTAAAGGTACGTATCGTCTGAGTTTTAATGAATTTTACGTTGTCGCTGCTGCGTTCGAGTACGTCTTTGTATTGCTTTCCAACAACTTGTTTCTACTTTTATAACACTTAACACGCTACTACCCACCTATAATCGTTAGATGGGCGGCATACGTTTAAAACCACCTAACTTTTTTCTTATTTTGTCAATTGTCCGCAAATAGCATGTGCCGTTCTATGGCGCGCTGCATTGGCAAAACTCCATATTAACCATTTATTGTATGTTTTACGGACATAATAACGCATTTGGAATACAAGGTTTAGTTTAGAGTCATAAAAAAGACGCGTGATAATTTATAATAATGAATGCACATATGTAACATGATAAAGAAAATTGCACGAGCTTTGTTTTGCCGCTCGACGACAGGTTGTAAGCCAGATCAAGCAGTTACAAAATTGTAATATTCTTCTAACACATTAAAATTCTTTATTTATTCATAAAAAACGGATTTAACAATTTCAGGCTTAGTTATTTGTTTAGTAATTGGAATGGATTCAGAAACAAGAATATTTGAAATAAAAAAAAAAAATATATATGTAATTTACCAAGAGTATGGCTAAAATGTGGGAAATTTTTAAAAGGAATCTAAATTTTATAGTATTAATCCTATTTTACCGTAAGTTTATTACTTCTCAAACCCAGTAAAAGCATTACTTTTCCAGAACTCTTATTAAAAATGAAAATTGCTTAGTAAATTTCTCAGATAGAAAGTTTTAATCCAGTAAGCCATGTATAATTTTTTATGAATAAGTAAGAGTTTCAGGATGTTTGAAATATTTTTGGCACATTTTCGTGAATTATTCGATCAATGCTATGTTACTCAAGAAGATAGTTTTTATTGTTTTCCTGCTAAAAATTCTAATTCGTTTTCAACGCTAAAAACATATTTAACAGCATTGTTTTCGGTGCGTTTGTCCGTCTCTAAAGAAATTAAATTATATGTTTTTGTAGGATCAATACAAATACCTGCATATTAATACATACATCTTTTATGTGCACTAATCATATTTTAAAAACTTACTTATTTACTTTCTTATTAACATAATTCTACACATTTGTTTAAACTTTTACACACAATGGCAAAATTTTCGTATAAGCATCTGGCTGGGAATTCCCGTGTATTTGGCTGAAATTCGGTGTCGTATTTTGCTGTCGTCTTTGAATACTGCTGTAAAAAATACATACAGATATATATTTTTCCAAGCTGTCATTCAAATATGCCATGCCAAAAGCTAGCCACTGGAAAATGTTAGTGGGCTTTCAAAAATGGAAAGCGATATTTTTATTAATTTCTGTTTTGTAATGAACTATAAAGTAGAAATTATAAAAAATTTTAATGACTGCCTTGCTTTAGCTTTGCAGCCATTGTACGCATTGCCAGCGGCTGACATTTGGTTTTAAATGTGTTTGAACTTCTCTCCATCATGTTCTTCATATAATTGTTTTAATTGAGTTTAGTTTGTTTAGATTTTGTTTTGTTTGTTTAATTTATTTTCTAAACTTTTCTCAATTATGAGTCCCGCACGTAAGCAAACAAATATTTTGTCCGTAGTTATATTACATACATACGTCTCAATAAAAATAGTTGCGGTTTACCCCGGCGAATAATAAAATTTTGTCTATTTTAGGGCGCTGAATAAAATATTTTGACCGAATTAACGGCCCTATCCGCAGTAGTTAAAGCAACTGGTATGCGATGAGTTTTGTCATTGGCATGCAAATAGGGTCATAAGATCACTCGTGGTCAAGGCTTCCAACTGCCCTTACCTACATATGAATGCCATAATACTGATAAAAAAAAAGTTCCAAATAAAATGCCATTCTTATAAATCGCAAGAAAATTATTTCTTTCTTTCCCATTTAGAAATTGAATAAGAAGCAAGTTTCTAAAACAAACTAAAATAATCCAGTTATACGTGTACAATCTTTACAAACTAGGAAATTTTAGTTGACGAAAAATTAGTACACACGATGGATTTGGCTCATTGAGCCAATTTCAAAAATTAGGCACCATCTGAAGTAAAATAGGGCAAAAAAATAAGTGCGGTTTGAACCAAATTGAGAGGTCTGCTCGTGGTTTGGACCGTTTTGAAGTTATCTGCAAAAAAAAATGTTTTTCATTAAAAGTAACCTTGGCCGATAAAAAAAATACATTCCTTGTCAAAAAATGTTCAGACATATTAAAGATAATGACACTTTTAATGCACTTTCCGACAACTTTTTAATGAAACTTTCATTCAGGGTATTCATCTAAATGCGTAGATGCTTCGAAAATGTGTAAACCTCGTAAATTACCCAGTTTTCCATACAAAATTAAGTAAGTTTACGAGGTTTATACAGTTACGAGGCATTTACGAATTTAGATGAATACCCTGATCGAGATTTTAATAACACAAGCATTTTTAACTGATTTCCTATTATAAAAATGGTGTATTTTGCTACGAGTTTCTGTCATCCCTTGTCAAATTTGGTTTGGATACAACCGGTTTAGGACTTATGCCACCTTCAGCAATTTAAGAAGCAATAAGAAAAGTTGTGACAAGTTTTCAAAACCTAAATAAACTCATGAAAAAATTAAAAGTAGATAGTTGAAAACAAGTAATTTAAAAACAAATTTCTTTAAGACAATCTTTTATAAGCGGTTAATAAAAAATCGACCCCGCAGCACCTAACGGCTAAAATTTTGGTTTCTTATTTCTTTCCATTTAAGTAACATACGTTCTAAATTTAAAACAAATCGGGCCATGAATATGGGTTTTCCAAATATATCGACTCCTGCGCCACCTATCGAGTAAATTTTAAGCGGATTGTTTACTATCAGGAAAGACGTTTATTTCGGACTTAAAAAATATCTGGCCATGTTCAACTGTTGAAAAAAAAAATAACTGCTATTTACGACCGTATATTCTTGTGCAAACTGAGTTTTTTTCATTAAGAAGTAACTTTTGTGCGGCTCTCTAATGTATCTTCGTTTGCATGTGTATGGTAGTCGACTCGATTTTTAAAAATCTAACAGCTAAAACATAAACTCACACTTACATATGTGTGTATGTATGTATGTAACCCTTATCGTTGCAAATATTTTCTGTTCGACATCTGCTTGCTGCATTGCCTTAATGTCGTACTCAATGTGACTTGTTCATGCAATACGTACTATCTGCTGTATCTATATTTTTAAAACGATTTTCAAGTACATAGTATTTTTAAATGTACATAGATATATCTACATGAATTGCAAAATTTTTAATGTATTTACCCATTAAATATGTCATTTTACTCCACATGGCGTCCGTCGTTCCCCATGTCTGCTCTGGTCTCTTGTAATAAACAAATCGAAATTTCATACGCTCTTATTTCTCTCTCCATTTCTAACACGATTAAACTCTAATAAAATAATTCGAAAAACTCATCTAACTCAATAAAAATCAATTCGCGTAGCTGAAGCTTCGCCTACGCCACCGCTCACACACTCGCCCACGCGCTCGACCACACCTGCTACTAATACGCATGAATTCAAAGAAATTCCCAACACTCGATCTACTCCTAATTTTGCAGTAGCCACTTCCGGCTCCTTTCGCATTCGCGTAACCGAAAGTTTGACTTTCTATAAAATTGACTCTTCCACCAATGAGCTGCCACTCTCTGACATTGATTTCTCTCTTAATCCCATTACGCCGGACGTTTCTTGCTCTGAATACAAATCAAGCTTGCCAAACGAAATGAGGCACCAGCGGTATGCGCAATTGTTGAATATGCGCGCTATGGCCAGTACCGATGAACCCGATTCGTATAACAAATCACATTTGCCTAAAATTTCACCGTTAGCCACTAACGAGCGCCCGTTATCGTGCAATTGCCTAAGTGGTGGCGGTGCTTTCGATGAAAACTTCCCCCATTCGCATTCGAAAAGCATGGCCGACATAAGTCCACAGAACGATGGGGCAGAATTACACTTTGTCTTGGGCAGTTCGCCGATATCCGCCTCGCGCGTTGCTTCCATTGACGATTTTCAGTTGTCTTGTTCGGCACCTGCCACCATCCTAAGTAGTGAATTCAGATTTCGCCCACAGAATGAGCGGAAAAACACAGATCAACTGCGTGCTACCTCGCCTAATAACTCACCAACTGCTTCCACCTTGAAATTGTGTAAAGAGTCTGATGAGCGGCAACTGCAACAGCAAGCGAAATCGCAACAGAAATATGCCAACGAACTGTGTGCTGGTACTGCGGACGATGAAAATGCAAAGGTCGATATTTCAGTTAAAATAGTATCGTCGATTAGTTTGCCAAAGGTGCAGTCGGCGCCGGTTATGGCCAATGTTGAAAATCCTTTCAAGTTTACGCAGCCAGCTCAGAAATCCTTTGTAAATAGATTTACTACAATCGATGAATTTGCTATTATGCATCCTACTAATGCTAATGCTAATGCTTTCTCTTCCTCCGGCCACTCCTCGTCCGCCTGCGACTTTGACACATTACTCCAACACAAACATCACATGCCATCACACGCACACACTCACAAACATGTCATACGCTCCAATTACGATAACCCTCAAAATCCGCGTTACAATCAACATGTTCGCCGACATCACCAACAACAAAACCCCCCCTCACCAACATCAAATTCAACACAAACAATTTAAACGACATCAACACACACATGTTGCGCGCATACCTGACGTTATTGTCACTTTGAGCTCATCCTCAACCAATTTGTTTACTATGCCTGATACTAACCAATTAAATCCCGAACTCACTCCTAACGATCCTACTACTTACAACCCACCAAATGCCACTACCACAACAACAACCAATACCACTACGAACACAACATTGACGACATCGTCGCCCAATGTCAAAATTTCCACGTCCACATCCATACCCATGCCCTCGTCCGTGGTCGCCACCTGCTCTTCTACTACTCATTCCGTCGCAGATGGTAATGCGACGCCAGTGTCATCCTCATCGTCGGTATCGTCTCGACGTCAAAGACACAGTATTGCCGGCCAGATGTCATATATGAAAATGTTGGGATTCGGTGGTTTTAGCAAAAAGATGGCCACCAGCTCAAGTAGTTTATTTAGCACGGCAGTTATAAGCGGCAGTTCATCGGCTCCCAATCTAAGGGATATGATACCGTGTGCGGTTTCATCATCAGGTAAGGGGAGATAATTATGTTAAGTTTAAGAAATGGTAGTACGTTAGTGATTGTGGAGTAGAAAAGCATTATGCTTTATTTACATTTTTTTTTAAGCAAACAGAAAAATAGTCAGGGTATGCATCTAATCACTTGAATGCCTCGCAAACTTACAGCCTCGTAATCCTCAGTCATCATTTGTACGACAAGTCCTTTACACAAAATTCGTTGATTCAAAATTCGACGAATTCAGTGTGTAAACAATGTAGGCGAAGAAAAAAATACGATATGAAAAATGTTTCAATCTGACTTAATACGAAATAACATTTTTAAATCACATTTTGATATTAACATGTGGATTCATGCGATAAGACGAAAATAAAAATGTCGAAACAGAAGTGTCAAAATTTAAAAGGGTCTGGTACGATATGTCGAAATTTAAAATGTCGAAACTAAAAACACCGAAAAAAAGTTAGAAAATCAGAATGTCGAGAAAAAAATTGTCGAAAAGAAAAATGTCGAAAAATAAAAATGTCGAAAAAAATATATATGTATATCGAAATAATGTAATGAATGATGTGTAAAATTCGCGCGAAGGTTAAGAAACAAACACATAAATAATTTTTATTCTATGAATCATTTTTAACAAGCTCGAGGCCCAGCAATTAAATAAACCGCAAAACTTCGTTCTATTGATATTTTAATTGTCGATATTTCGACCTCAATCTGAGGTCATCTTCAGGACTGTAAATATACAAACCCGATAACTTATTATTAACTTTAAATTATTACAAACATACATTAAACCGACTTACACTCTTGATTGTGCCTGGTGGACTGATTAGGCGTACAGAAATAAAAGTTAAACAAGTGAAATTTTAGGCATGTAGAATGGCAACAAGAAGAGAACTATAATAAACGCTATATTTTGGAAATGTTACACATTACGAACACCCCTAATGAGAGAAGGATCAACTTTAAAACGGACACAGACAATTGTGCACTGGTGTATCGCAAATTGGCGTTAAATCGGCAACAACAATCCTCAACGTGGGTGTTCGGTTCCGCCGTCCATAATCAACATTCGTTCCGTTTCCCCAACATACCTTCATAGAATAACAATAAAATGCTGTGCTTTTATATGTACATATACATATTGTCTTACTGCTAAATGTTCCGTGTATTGTTGTTTGTATGTTTTTTTGTTTACAATTACGGTATTTTTAATTGTTTACTTCTTATGTTATGTTCATTTGCCTAAAATTTCACTTGTTTAACTTTTATTTCTGTACGCCTAATCAGTCCACCAGGCACAATCAAGAGTGTAAGTTGTGTTTAATTTTTCATAATTTAAAATTCAAAGGCCAACAACAAAAACAAAATAATTTTTATTCTTTTAAATGAACAGTGAGTGGCATCGGAGATATACATACCTTATAGAGTATCCAGTTTGATGATTTTCCTAGAATACTTTGTATGATTGATCAGCTGAGTAATCAGCTCACAAAATTTCACGACTTTATATAACAAAACAATGAGAATGAACAATGAGAGATATACCGTATAGACTACGGACATTGATGCGTTTCTCAGTAGAAGTTTTATGATTGATTATAAAATAGCGCACAAAATTTAACGGGTTTGGTTGTCTAAATATAATTTTAAAGAAGAACTCATGTCTGAGCAATAAGTTGTATAGAAGCTATAAATTATAGTGATCTTGATTCAATTTGACTATTAAAAAAGGCGGGTAACCTTCTTGAAAAATTTAGGAAATCATGGTCTCTTAAACTTCTCTTGTTTGACACCTTATAACGCCGAGTCAAACCTGTTGATAAAGGAAATAAATCATTCTTAAGCCACTTTCCATATTGTAGTATTTAACTAATTCATTAAATCGAATTAAAATTAAACAAATGGCAACCCTCTTCCAAAATATATTCGAAATAAAGTTTTTTTTTTTAAACTCTGACACCTAAATTTTAATAATTCTTTTAGCGTATTTATTAAATTTAATTTTACTTCTTCAAAAGGTGTTCATATTTTATGTTGCTGATATATGCCTATATGTATTGATACATACATACATGATTTCATAATGTTTCATTGGCTTTAACCTTTTAAATAAATACAAACCTTTTCCATAATAGTTGAGGGATAATTCTTTATTAAACCCATCAGAATTACCATGTTAAATAATCTGGATTAGAGGGTTTGAAATTAAGCTTTCTAAAACTTATTTCGTTTGCCACCCATATTGTAATATTTCATTTAACTTATTGATGAAAATGCGTTTAACTTTTTAAGCAAGTTGCAGCTCGTTTCAACGATCCTATAAATTAAACTTTTTAATATCATAAACTAAGGAGGAAAAGAATTCAAAACAGCAATATACAATATTTAATTTAAATAAATCAACCTGTCCCAATAATGCAAAGAATGATGTGCGAAATTCGACCTTTTTATTTTCGACAGTTTTCTTCGAAATTCTTGGTTTTCTAATTAATTTTGTCGATGTTTTTAGTTTCGATATTTTAAATTTCGACATATCGTAACTCTTAAATTAACATGTGTCGTAAGTTTACACGGTTAGATGAGTGCCCACATAATAATAAAAAAATTGAAATAGGCTAATGGCCCTATTCGTAAAACAATAAAGTAGGTTTAAAGAGCTTTATAAAATGACGTTTTCATAAATTTTTCGGTTTATGAACCTTTTATAAAGTTACTTTATTTTTTATGAATAAGGCCATAAAGAATTAAAACTCAAGTTTCAAATATGTATATATTAAATATTTTTCCTCCAAATATTTTCAATGTAATTAAGTGCCCTTTTCTCAAGTAGCTTTTAAAATTTATCTGCTCTTCAAACACATTTTTTCATTTTCAGAACAAAATCTGTGTTTTAAGCATATCGACGTCTGCGTGGAAGATCGACCTCTCAGAAAATTTTTCAAGAACGCTCTATTTCAGAATTTGGTTCAAAAACGCCCTATATTAAAATATTTTCAATATAGGTATTTTCAGTTGAGATAGGGCATTTTTTAATAAAGAAGATGAAAAAGCAGAAACCTTTTTTCTTATACCATGCTCGGACCGACAACGAAAACACTTTGAAAACGAGTTTTGGGCTGAAAGCTGTTCACACCGGCTGTTAGTATTTTCGTTGACATTTCTTTCATCCTTTGTTTACAGTTTTGCTACAAAAACAAAATCAAAATCTTTGTCTTTCATTTTCTTATCATTAGCAACCTTTTTCTTTTGTTCATATTTTAATTTGGCCAGCCAATTGACAATAAATCCCAACAAGAGTATTAAAGATGATAAAATATGACTTCCAATTCGATAAATATATCTAAAATACTAGTGAAGACACCGATTGGAATGAGTGGAACTTGAGTTTTCAAGTAGTTTTCAGCGAAAACTAGTTTTCGTTTGACCGATTTTACATGGACGAAAACACAAGTTTTAGGTCGAAAACCAGTTATACCAACGAAAACATGTTTTCGATGTCGGAGCGAACATGGTATTAGGTTGTGTAATATGTTGTTATAATGATTGTCGGCTGACCAAAATTTTTCGTGTCCATTCTTTATTGTCATTATTAATTTACTCTTTTAATCTGGTAAATTTGAGGATAATTAATGAAAATAAATTTAAAATTAAGTAATTTGCGGACTTATATTATGTTAACATATAAATATACACGCCTATTGCGAGTGTCGACTAGTAGTAGATAAACGACTATAATTCGATTATCGATTATCCACGGTATTTTCGATGTCGTTTTCTTGTTCAATAAGTGAGTGTGAAATGTTTTAGTAGTTCATTTTTCTACAAACCAAACAGTTGTAGAAGGATGAACGACCAAAAACTGTTCAGTTGCTTATTGAACGGGAAATCCACATTCACAATACCATGGAAAAGCGGCAATCGAATAATAGTCGTTTATCTAATACTAGTCGACACTCGCAATAGGGGTGATGATTTCAATCAAAGCTCGTTTGTTAATTACCCCGTTTACATAGGCAAATCTTATATTTTTAGTCGTCAAATTTGTTGTGTGAGAATAACTACTCACAACTCAAGGAAAAGTAAAGTTTCTTCTCTGTGCCATTGTGATCACTTTTTTTGGCTATATTAAGCAATTTAAATATATCTTAACTAAATATTTTATTAAAAATTCCTTTACAGACCTATTTTCCTTGCTAGCGTCTATATTTGTTTACTTTCACATTTGACATTTCTCCTCTTCGCAAAAATAATCGATACGACTAGGTTGGACACCTAAAAGTTACCGGTTTAGTCTGAGATTATTTCATAATTACAGATTAACGAGCGACGAATTTTGTAATCTCATTTTCCGATTACTGATTAGGGAGTTAAGCTCGAAAATAAGGATAATCTCCTTATATGTATGTAAAGCTAGTATTATATTGGGCATACACTTGTGATCAGCTGATTAAGTCATCAACATTTTGACAAATTTTGGCTATTTTTCTTTTGTTTATTTAATGTTCATTATTTTTCCATAAGTCTAGCTCATTATATAATAAACACTATATAAATCGACATTTCAAACTTTGTGCAAAAATTATAAAAAATCTGCAAAGTTACAGCTAAATTTTCAACTTTTTATTCAGATTACTGCATTACCAATTTTTTCCATACAAAATATATTCGAAAATTTTTTTGTATGAAAAAAAAAATGTGGCATGCAGTCAGAAAATAA